ATGTGTCATCCTCAGACCTAGATAATGTCAGCCTGTTGTGAATGCTCAGCAAATGTTTGTCAAATGGATGTGTGTATTGAGTTTACTATACTCATTTACCATATGTGGTTCTGAAGGTGTTGTGTTCCCATTTACTATATTAAGAGAGACATTGATTTTGTTTTAAAATATGACAGGTCAAGAATTAAAAAAAAAAATTCGAGCTAGAAACTATGTTGTATTACTTGGAGGAAGTTTTCCATTAGAATCAGTTTGACCCAGAAGTGTTAAATGCCTGGTATCATTGGAACTGATGAATTTAAGCTCTTACTGCCACTTCATTTCCATTGGTAGCTTTTAGTCGTATTTTCTTTTCTCAAAGACATTAGTGTCTTTTCAACCCTGTGGTGAAATTCTGTGAAATATTTTTTTTTAAAGTAAAAGTTCTGTAAAGAAGACATAAATGTAGCAACATACCATGTTGGTACATTGGAAAAATCAACATACCCATGTTGGTCTATAGGTTTAAAACAGGTCAAATCAAATCCTGAACAGGGCCGGGGATTTAGCTCAGTGGTTCTACCCCCTGCCTCCCAAGCACAAGGTCCCAAGTTCGATCCCTGGTACCAAAAAAACCCCAAAAAACAACAAATCCTGAACAAAAAGAGCAACGTTGGAGGCATCACAATACCCAATTTCAAATATACTCTAGAAGCTGGGCATGGTAGCACATGCCTGTAATCCCAGCACTTGGGAGGGTGAGGTAGGAGAGTTGCTATGATTTCAAGGCTAGCCTATGGCACATAAGTGAGTTCAAGGCCAGCCTGAATTACATGGTGCAACTCTGTCTCAAGAAAGAAAGAAAAAAATATATATATTAGAGCCATTGTAATAAGTACAACACTGTGGGAGGAAGCTGGATGTCCACATGGAGAAGATCCTATCTTGCCCTGTACCAAATTCAACTCCAAGTGAATCTAAGACCTAACTATAAGACCTAAAACTTTGAAACTATTACAGAAAACAAGGGAAACACTTGAATATATAGACACAGAAAATGACTTCCTGAATAGGACTCTCGTAGCTCAGGAAATAATAGCAAGAATGGAGAGATGGGACTACTCAAATTAAAAAGCTTCTGCACAGCAAAGAAAATAACAAAGAGACAGCCTGTAGAATGGGAGAGAATCACTGCCAGTCGTTGTTCTAATAGAGGGGTCATATCCCAAATATATAAAGAACTTGAAAAATATAACACCAAAAGAATCCAGTCACTGGATTGAACAACTGAACTGAACAGACATTTCTCAGAAGTACAAATGGCCAATATACAAAAGTATTCAACATCTTTAGCCACCAGAGGAGTGCAAATCAAAACCACATCAAGATTCCATCTCATACCAATCAGAATGGCTCTCATCAAGACTACAAAATATAATACATGCAGATACCTGCATACCTGTGTGTATTGAGGCACTATTCACAATAGTCAAATTATGAAATCAGCCAAGGTAGATAAAGAAAATGTAGTGTATATACACAATGGAGTATTAGTCAGCTGTAATGAAGAATAAAGTCATGTTATTTGCAGGAAAATGGATAGGACTGAAGATCATCGTGTTAAGTGAAATAAGCCTCAAATAAGACTCAAGAAGACAAGTATTGCATGCTTTCTCCCATATGTGAAATCTAGGAGAAAAACATGACACAAAAATAGAAAGGAAACTATTAAAGAAAGGGAACTGGAAGGAGGAAAGGGTAAGGGAGAAGAGGAAATGATAAAAATGTTATCTGCATGTATAAAACTGTTACAGTGAAACCCATTATTCTGTATAATTAATGTGCACTAATAAAAAGGAAACAATCCCAATCAAAATCCCAACAGACTTGTTTTGCAGCTATAGACAAACTGATTCTAAAATTTATATGGAAAGGTGAACAGAAATAGCCAAAACAATTTCGAAAAGTTGTTAGAGTTAAAAAATTATAGTTACAAGAATCATATTAGCTGATTTTAAGACTTACTATAAAGCTAAAGTAATAAAATGTGGTTTTGGTGAGGAAATAGACACCTAGATAAGTAGAAAAGGATAGAATGTGGAAACAGTCCCCCACGATACGCCCAGTTAATTTTTGCAAAGGTACAGTGCTAATTCAATGGAGAAAAGCTAATCTTTTTAACAGATGATGTTGGAACAATTGGAACAGTCCATAGGTAAGAAAAAATTGACCTAAATCTTCTATCTTCTGCAGAAATTAATTTAGAATGGATCATAGATCTAAATGTAAAATGTGAAGCTATGTATACAACTTACAAAAGAAAACAAGGTCTTTGTGACCAGGGGCTGTGCAGAGCTCTTAGACATGACTCCAAAATCATGAACAGTGTGAGGAAGAAATGGGCAAAATAGATATCATCAAAACTAAAAAATTTGCTCTACACAAGACACTGAAGTGAGTAAAATCACCCCCACCCACACACCTGCGGTTTTTTCAGATGGTCTTGCTATGGCCCAGGCTGGCCTCAAAATCAGGATCCTCCCGCAGCCTCCTAAGTGCCGGGATTACAAACATGTGCCACCATGCTTGGAAAAGTGGATGAAATGACAAGCTATAGTCTTGGAAAAATATTTACAAATCACATACTTGACAAAGAACTCTTACCAAAATATGTAAACAACTCTCAGAACCCAAGAGTTAAGACAACCCAATTAAAAAGGGGGCATAAGATTTAAATACTTGATGAAGAGGGTTTGTGAATGGTGATTAAGAACACAAAAAGTCGTCACCATCATTAACTGTTAGGGAAGTGCAGATTAAAGCCATGAGTTACGACGACTGCTTAGAATGTCTGAATTAAGAAACAGTACTACATGGTGGCAAGGATGCAAGCAGCTGTAGCTCTTGTGCAGTGCTGGTCGGAATGCAGGTGGTCCTGCGCCATTCTGGAAAACAGTTTGGCAGTTTCTTATAAACATACATTTACTGTATGAGTCAGCAGTCTCACTTCTAAGTATTTACCCTAGAGAAATGAAAGTACCTTCAGTCAAAAAAAAAGAAAACAAAAAAACCTGCACTGGAATATTGTAACAACTCTCTTTAAAAGTAGTAATAATAATAATAATTACTGGAAACTGGAAATAGTCCAAGTGTCCTTCCATGGATGAATGGGTAAACAGACTGCCACATCCACGGAGGCAAGAGGGGAACTGCTCTGCAATAAAGAGGAACAAGCTATTGATGTTGGCAAGCAACGCAAGGGCATGGTGCTGAGTCAGAGAAGCCAACCTCTAATGGTTGTATACTGCCTAGTTTCATTTGTATGCCCTTCTTGAAAAGACAAAACCACAGGAATAGAGGCCAGGCCAGCAGTTGCCAGGAGTTAGGGTAGGGAGCGACTCCAGGGAAGTATCCTGAAGGAGTGTTTGGGGATGGTGGGGCCCCCTGTGTCCTTAGTGTAGGGGTAGTTATACAGACCTTGACCTGTGTTAATAGGATTGGACACCAAAAAAAGTGTAGAGAATTTTTAAATTTACTATTTGTTAATTTTAAAATAAAACAGACTCTGGGCCGGAAATTTAGCTCAGTGGTTTCGCCGCCTGCTCCACAAGCACAAGGACCCGAGTTCGATCCCTAGTACCAAAAAAACAAAAAACAACAAAAAAAATAAAAATAAAACAGACTCTCCCATCCTGCAGAAGTTGCTTTGTGGTGCTAAGAACAGAACTTAGAGTGCTAAAATAGATAAATGCAACGTACAAGCAATTAAAATGGATAAAGTCCATAAAGTGACTCCCTGTTGTTATGCAGATAAACAGAAGATGAAATATGCCACAAAAGCTAGCCACAGGCTATCTACATATCTGATTGTAAAAGTCACTAGAGTGGATCTTATATTGGTTTTTGAAGGTCATTACCAGTAACCTGTAAGAAATTCCACCCAGTGGTTGTGTTTATTTAACGTTTCAATATAGTTTCCAATCCACATTTTAATCATCTCCTTGAAAGTGATCTTTGATTCTCCCAGTTATCTTAGTTTGCTCCAGTTCCATATGGTTCCAGTACCTTTGTGAATGAGGCGCTCAGGTGGAGGCCAGGTGTGCAGAGAGGCTTTCAGCGAGGGGCAGAGACCACACCTGGGCCTGGCCTCAGGTGCACCCCCAAGGAGATTGAGGACTTTTAGAGTCAGTGCCTGGGCTGGGCCTGGCCAGCTGGCTATGTGTAGAACTCAGCAGTGATCTGCCGACCAGCCTGGTTGCAGATCCCATGAGGTAGAATGGGAATAGACAGGCACAAGTGGTGGTACCAGGGCATGTTAAGTGTGCAAGGTGGTGACTCCTGAGCCAGAGAGTCTCAGAGAATGCGAAATTGCTATACAAAAAGAAGCAGGTGATCTGTGTGGAGGGACACAACAGAGTGTGCCCAGAGCTGCAAGGTGAGGTCTTGGCTGAGAAGGGTGTGGCAAGGGAGGATGGAGAGGGACACAGTGCCAGAGAGAGTGACTGAGAGCTTAGCAGTCAGTCCCAAGGCCAGGACTCAGGCACCTCACTGAGAATCACAGACAGGGAGCCACTTACAATGCAGACATCCCGGGCTGGCCCAGATCAGATGTTCTCAAAGTGGAGCCTGCAGCCTGCAGTTGTCAGCAGTGCCTGAGAGATCCTTTTGCATTGTGCAGCCAGCTTCTGTGGGGAGCAGTGGGGCCACACAGAGTTTCCTGCCAGGACTTGTTTCATTTTTCTGTTTGTTTGACTTGTATCGTAACATAGCTCCCTCCTCAAAACCGCCACTGAGCCCTGCACTTAGGAATGCTGCCCTCTTTTGAGTTTCCTGGGGTACCATAAAAACAGCAAGCCTTTCTACAGGTATCTGTTCACGTAAACATCATTGTTTTACAGAAAGAAACGGAACCCTCTCTGTGAGGCTGCCAGCCTGATAAGTTTTTGCTGGAGAAGGAGGTGAGGTGGGGTCTGCCCTGGGGAAGAAGGTGGGGCCTCACGGTTTCCTGGTGTCCTTTCCAGGAGCAGCAGCCGAGCTGGACAGATGACTTGCCCCTCTGCCACCTCTCTGGGGTTGGCTCAGCCTCCAACCGCAGCTACTCTGCTGATGGCAAGAGCACCGAGAGCCACCCTCCAGAGGACAGCTGGCTTAAGTTCAGGTGTGCATGCCAGCATCGCTGTCTGGGGCAGAGGAAGTCAGTTCACCCACAAGGAAAGGCACTGATCTTGCCACTGTTGTAAGGGGCTTTTGGGGAGACATGGCCCATGAGAAGTGGCCTGTGCTGTGGCCACATCTAATTCAGTCCAGGACCTGCTGCAGTGTAGGGGAGGGCATCCTAGAAGGTTACAGCTACAGTGAATCTCAGCCAAAGTGAGAGGTCCCAGATGGGCACCTTAACCACAGCTGCTATACATTTAGTCTCCCTCAGTTCCTTCCCCTGGCTCCCCCTCTTCTGTGAGCCCTGGCCTCAGGCCTCCTTATGCCTCCTCTGCCAGGAGTGAGAACAATTGTTTCCTCTATGGGGTCTTCAACGGCTATGATGGCAACCGAGTGACCAACTTCGTGGCCCAGCGGTTGTCCGCAGAGCTCCTGCTGGGCCAGCTCAATGCTGAGCACACAGAGGCTGACGTACGGCGGGTCCTGCTGCAGGTAAGGGGCTTAGGCCACTGATCACAACCTGGCTGACTGTGCTTCCTCCTGCTCCCAGAACTCAGCCCCGCGGCTATGAAATGTGACCACTGGTTGGTCTGAAGACTGCTGGCTTCTTCACCCAGCAGCAGTGGCTCCCCATCCCCAGGAGTCCAGGGCTAGGCAGGGTTGGCTCTGGAAAATGTGCTGGGCGTTTTAGCATCCAGTGCCAGCCTTTGTCCTACCCTCTGTTGCTCCAGGCTTTCGATGTGGTGGAGAGGAGCTTCCTGGAATCCATTGATGATGCCTTGGCTGAGAAAGCTAGCCTACAGTCTCAGCTGCCCGAGGTAATTGCTCTGCCTACCCTCAGGAAGAGCTAAGGGTACAGCTGGCGGGTGGTAATGGGTTTGTCCTTGAGGGGCCTCCCTGCCCACTGTGGGCAGCTTCACTCCAAGACTCAGCTTTGGCTGGCAGTGACAGGTGAGAGGAGAGGCCTTTCCAGGTCCTATGGGCTGATTTGGTCGCAGCCTCATCACCTTCCTGCCCCTATCACCCACCCGCACTTTCAGGGCCCTCTGAGTTAGGTCATTACTGGCTTTCCTGGGATACAGCCGGACTGCCATCCTGCCCTCAGCCTTGCTCCTGAGAGAGAGGGGGTTGCTGCCATGGTCCCCACAGGCCGCCCTGCCCTGACCCCTCCTGCTGGGTTGCAGGGTGTCCCCCAGCACCAGCTGCCTCCACAGTATCAGAAGATCCTGGAGAGACTCAAGGTGCTGGAGAGGGAGATCTCAGGAGGGGCTATGGCTGTTGTGGCGGTCCTTCTCAACAACAAGCTCTACGTTGCCAATGTCGGTGAGTCACCCACCATGGCCCGGGGAGGAAGGGAAATCAGCCTGGTGTCGGTGTGCTCACCAACAGTCTGCTTTCCAGACCCCTCACACTTTATTTTATGTTTGTTTTTTTTTGAGAAAGGCTATGTAGTCCAGACTGGCCTTGAACTCACTGTGTAGGCCAGGCTGGCCTCAAAAAAACTAATGGCAATCTTCTTGCCTCAGCCACCCAAGTGCTGGAATTACAGCCATGTGCCACCACACCCAGCTCCCTGGGCACTTTAGACCCAGAGTGTCCTGAGACCATTTAGCCTAGTTCTTTCTCACTCCATGGCCTGTATCATCCCAGTTGGAGGAACAGATGAGACAGAGACAGGTGTCAGTTTTAAGTCCCACTCTAGCCCTACCTGGCTGTGGCCTTGGGCGAGTCACATCCCATCTCTAAGTGGCCCCAGTAGCTGCTGCTTTTGGAAGAAGTAATTGGCATGGAAGATCCGCTCCATCCCCATGAGGAGTGGCAAGCCGGGGACAGGGACATTTGCATTTGTTGGCAAAAGAGGGCTAATCTGGGAGCCAGAGAGTCAGCTGTACAGTGTGCATGTTTTCTGTAGAGACCCCACTGATGGCCTCCCTCCCTCTTCCTCCTGGCCTTAGGCTTTCATTAGGGAACAGTTCCCCAAATACAGAAAAACAGATGAGTGGTGTTCCGTGAAGCACCACGTCTCTTCCCGGCACTAATCATTTCCCAGTTATGGCCAGTCTTGTATCTTTGGCTCTTTGGCCCCAGATAATTCTAAAGCAAACCCTAGACATTGTGGTATAGTATCTGTAAAGATTTCATTATATATTTCTAGAGAAAGATTTCTTTTATTATAATCATAATCCTGTGATTGCACTGTGAATGTGTAACCCAGTTAATTCCTTAGTCTCATCAACTGTCCCCTGCTGTGGCTTAGCCCAGTGGTCTCAGGCTGGTTTGTGGCTTTTGTGCAGCTCACATGTGAGGTACCTGCCTTCCCTCCCAGTCTAATCGGCAGATCCCATTCCTCTCTGCTTGGTCTTTGCTCAGCTGCTGAAATTCTGCTGCAGGTACAAACCGAGCACTTCTCTGCAAGTCTACAGTGGACGGGTTGCAGGTGACCCAGCTGAACATGGACCACACCACCGAGAATGAGGATGAGCTCTTCCGCCTGTCACAGCTGGGTGAGCAGGGGGAGCCTGGCCAAGGAGTCAGTCGGGGTAGAGATTCTGACCCCTGAGCTCCCCCTGTGCCTTCCTTTGGTGGCCAGGACAGAGACCCATGTAGTGGAGGAGCTGTGAGGTTGGGGCTGGGACCAGCCACTTACTAGTGGGTGACTTTGGAACTTACCCTGTGCCTCAGTTTCCACATCTGTGTAATGAGAATAACAGTAACCCCTACCTTGGGGTGTTGTGACGATTAAAAGAGCTAATATGTGCCCGTTGCTTCCTGGAGTACCCAGCACGTGGTAGGTACTCGCTGACACTGATAGAGTCTGAGAGAGGCCAGAGATTCCAGCACCGCCATGGCTGCTCCCTCCCTTCCCGAGTGTGGAAGCCGATGTGGGCCAGACATAGGCAGAGGCAGTGAGCGTGCTGCTGTGATGCAGGATCGTCGAGCGTCCAGGGTGGTGCTGGAGTTCGGGGGTCTCTGATGGAGATAGACTGAGGATGGGGAGATGTGGTGTTAGCTGCTCCCTGGCACCCTGCTCATGTCTCTGTATCCTGTCCAGTGGGTTCTTGTTGCTTGTTTTATAGATTTGCCTATCCCTTCCTTTTTCTTCACAAGCAAGGGTTGGGCTGTTGCATTCTTCTCCCTCTGGCAGGTTTGGACACAGGAAAAATCAAGCAGGTGGGGATCATCTGTGGGCAGGAGAGCACTCGGCGCATCGGGGACTACAAGGTCAAATATGGCTACACCGACATTGACCTGCTCAGGTAGGTGGCTAGCACAGCTGCTGCAGGAGGCCTGGGGCAGGAGCAGACTTCAGGCTCCGGTGATGGGGTGCAGTTGAAGCAGTTCAGAGACCAAATAGTTCAGAGCTTTCTTCCTCTCAGAGAGATGGGTGAGGCAGGGCCAGGGCCAGGAGGCCAGGGTTGGGGTCTTTGGAGCTAGGCTGACACACATGAGGTCCTGGCATGGACAGAGTGGCCAGATGGAAGCCCGGCTGGTGGGTGCCTGGGACCAAGGCCAGGGCAGAGGTGTGAGACGGAATTGACCACTTCCCTCCAAGAATGCTTCCCATCTGCATGTCCCCCAAGTACTCATGGGAGTGAGATGAGCTGCAGTAGTTGGGGTGAGCCTGTGTTGGCCCAGCCCTGCCGCTGTTCACACTCGTCTTTTATTCACTCCTCACCCAGGCCTCATGAGGAGGTGGGGACAGGCATGTTCATAAGAGGAAACAGGCTCAGGGACAGCAGGTCATCTGCCCAGCAGTAGAGTGAGAGATGGACCAAAGCAGTGCTGTCCTTAGTGGCTGGCTGGCCTGTGTGGGACACATTGGCTGGGGAAATACATATGTACACTTGTGTGATGCCAGTCATAGCATTTAACGTCACAGCCAGAGCTGTAGGAATCATGCTGATAACCTTGTCAGCAGGAAACTCCTGACCCACCCAAGATTAGGCAGTCGAGTGTGGAACCTCTGCCCCTGATTTGTGGGGTTCCATTTGCTTTGTTGGAAAGAATGTGTGGTTTTCAAACAGGGCCCAGGGTATGTGCAGTGAGAGTAAGTCTTCCATTCCCCTGACCAGAAGCCCCTTGCCCCATTCTGCTAGTTTCTTAGGCACCCTGCCTCCAGTGCGTGTATGCGTGTGTGTATGTGTGTGTGTGTGTGTTTCCTGGGGGCCAAGGAACTGGCATCCCTTTAAAACATGCACAAGTGTGGGCATCCCTCCGCCGTGTTCTGCCCCTTACTCCTCTTTCTCAGCTGCTTTTTTGAGGTCTGATGTACGAAAGATGTGCGTGTTTAATGTGTACAGCTGGGTGAACTTAGAGCTGCGTTTACAGGCGCCTCTGTTGGCACAAAGGTGCCTGTCCCTGCACACCTGCTTTTATCTTGCTAACAGCTGCTAGGGTTTCAGTCAGTAATGACTGATGCATATCAGCACATGGTCCCTGGGCAGTGTACTGGGGCCTTGGTGTGGATCCCTGTTTGGGTGGAGCCCAGTGACAGCAGAGGAGTTGGCGTCTAAAAGATAACCTTCCTCTTGCTCTTCCACCCCCACCTTGCCATGGCCCCAACTCTGTGGGGCGGAGATACAGAGCAGGGCCAGAATCAAACTTGACCTTCACCATTCTGACCCTTGGCCTCCTCCATCCTCTACCCCCAGCTTCATTTTAGCAGCTGTCCTTAGAAGGCAGGGCTGTCTGATTTTCTCTTTCCTCTATTTCTTTTCCTCTTACCAAGTCATGTGTTTTATTCTGTATTCTGAGTGTAGATTGTTCCCCTCAGGAGAATCAGTGTTACCTGGATGCCTTTTTACCCAAAGCCTTCCTTCCCCTCTCTTCCCAGTGCCGCCAAGTCCAAGCCGATTATTGCGGAGCCAGAAATTCATGGTGCACAGCCTCTGGACGGGGTGACTGGCTTCCTGGTGCTAATGTCCGAGGGGCTGTACAAGGCCCTGGAGGCTGCCCACGGGCCGGGCCAGGCCAACCAGGTAAGCCAGGCTGGGGAGAGCAGGGGACTGTAGAGCACACTCCAGGGTGAGGTGCATCCCTAGCAACCCAAAGCTGTCATTCTCACATGTTGTCACCAGACATCTCTGGGTTCAAAGCTGGAGCAGTGGAAAGCCACAGCTCCAGGAACACCCATCCCAAAAGCCGTGTTCGTTCTGGGAGTGTAGCAGTGTTGGTGCCAAGGACTGGGTGAGGACTAGAGGGAAGAGAGTGCCAGAGAAGTGAATGTTCACCAGTGCAGCATTGCTCTGGGGCCACACAGGAGGCCTGGGCCAAGGCAGAGAGCCCAGAAAGGGCTGTGGCCTGCTACACGGAGTGCTACTGGGGGCTGGTCTTGGGCCCCTGATTCCTGCCAGTGCTCTCAGGGCCTTCATGTCCCTGTTCTGACCCTTACCCCTGTAGCAAAGATGGTGACATCTTCCCTTGAGGGACTGGGGTCAGGTGTGCCACATCCAGGTCCTCAGCCTGTAGGAGCAGCTTGTTTCTTCTACACCATGGAGTACACAGGGCAAGTGTCACCCAGCATGATTCTAAGGCAGTCATTTAGGGTTTGGAAGGGAAGCTGCCTCCACCTGACCTTGGGGTGCTGGGTGGCTAAGGTATGCCTCATGGATGTTCAGGGTTTTCACCCATTGTATCCTGTTATTCATCCAAGCAGCCTTGTGGTGTAGAGGGGCCCCAAGGTTCAGCCTTGCAGCTTAGAGGGCCAGTGCTTACTTCCACACGAAGTGAAGATGTGGGCACCAGAGTTCAGGGCCTTTGCTGAGGTGATGTGGCTTGGTTAGTGATTTAGTTGAGCCCACAGGACAGGAATAGGTCCTTTCCCCCTACCTGCCCTACCTCTGCCTCAAGAGCCTGTGGTCAGCCCTCACATAGAGGACATTGTTTGTGCTTCTGATCTTTTAATCAATATAATTTTCTTTCTTTCCCCTTTGGTTTTCATAATAGAATTATCCGGTGGGTTCTAGTAGGTTCTAGAATATACTGGGCAGGTAACTTCTCTGAGGGCAGGGATGCTGCCTTCATTCTATATACTACCCAACCTCTGACAAAATTCCTGACATATCGTAGCTTATAATAAGTTTGTTTCAGGAAAGAATGCTTACTAAAAACAATTTATACTGGGTTCTTAGTCTGCCCATGTGTTACACAATCCTTGTACTAATCTGATGTCGTGGGTATTATCCATTCAGAGGTCTGAGCCAACAATCAGGGAGAGCACAAGGTCATACACCTTTTCTCATGAGAAAATTCCAGAGGATTGTCCTGAATATCTTGAAAAGCTCAGATTGCAACTTGGCTGGCAGGAACTTCCTTCACTTGCTGAGCCAATGACCCCTAAGTCCCCAACAGAGCTCTGGAGTTAAGCTTCCATCCCTCGGCCACCCCTCGTTCCTCACCAGGTTCTCCTCCCTTCCCTAGGAGATTGCCGCGATGATTGACACTGAGTTTGCCAAGCAGACCTCCATGGATGCGGTGGCCCAGGCCGTGGTGGACCGGGTGAAGCGCATCCACGGTGACACCTTTGCCAGTGGTGGGGAGCGTGCCAAGTTCTGCCTACGGCACGAGGACATGACCCTGCTGGTGCGGAACTTTGGCTACCCACTGGGTGAAATGAGCCAGCCCACTCCCAGCCCAGCCTCAGGTATAAGCACCCTGCAGAGGCAGCGCCCAAGAGTGAGTCTGGGGTTGTGGCTTTCCTGCCTGGAGGAGGCCTGGCTTCCAGTTCTTTTCACACAGGCTCTGACTTCTGGTCTCCCTGTGCTGTGTGCTGTTTTTATTCCTTTTGTCTGAAATATAAGGACAGAACTACTTGCCCTGGACCACCTCCTGAGACACAAACAACCAGTGTGCAGCCACAGGGCCTGACAGAGATGTGGTGAACCCTGGCTGGTTGCCTGCTCCCCAGCCATGGCCGGAGTTACATCCTTGAGTCCCCATTAGCAACCCTAAAGACTGGAAGAAGAAACGTGCAGGGGCCTGGGTGAGGTCTGCCATGTGGATGGCGGTCGGGCCCCAGTACCTGCCCAGTGTGGCCTGGGGAGATGTGTTTTACTTTTTCTTTTCCTGTTTTTTTCTTCTTCAGTATTGAGGATTGAACCCAGAGCCTTTGTATTGTGCTACATTCACAGCCTTTTTTTATTTTGAGACAGGAGCTTACTGAGTTGCTAAGTTGAGCCCAATTGGGCTTAAACTTGGAGTCTTCTTGCCTCACCCTCCCAGAGTATACAGGCATCCACCACCTTGTCGGCTTTCTTTTTCATCCTTAAATCAAGTTGCCTGGGAGCAGCAGTGATCAGTGATCATCCTTTGCAGTGCTCCCTCTCCACATGGCTTAATGCTAAAACCCTCAGTTCCTCAGAGCTGCATTTCCTTTTCTTCTTCAAACAAACAAACCTTGGGTTGAGCATTGCAGATAGGCATGTTCTCCCATGGACGCCAGGGTTTCCAGGGTTTCTCCAGCTCATTATTGCAACCATGTTTTTATTGGGTCAGCCTCAGCGAGGAGTAGACTGACCTCGGATGAAGGTGGCCGTGGGAAGCCAAGCTGCACCCTTTCATTGCGGCAGCTCCAGCCCTTGATTCTGTTCTTGCCTTGAGCACTAGTGGGCTTTGCTACCAAAGGGTGGTCCCAGCAGGCTTCTTCTGCCCAGGGACAGTGCTGGGCTGTCTCCCGGACCAGGGCCACACACAGCTTGGGGAGCCTATCAGACACCCCGGTTGGACCCTGGAGCAGCCCTGCCCCCACCGAGTCCTTTTCCTCCCTCACCTCATGCCTACTGCCCTCTTCCATGCCAGCTGCCGGGGGCCGTGTGTACCCCGTGTCCGTGCCCTACTCAAGCACCCAGAGCACCAGCAAGACCAGTGTGACCCTCTCCCTCGTCATGCCTTCCCAGGGCCAGATGGTCAACGGCGCCCACAGTGCTTCCACCCTGGATGAAGCCACCCCCACGCTCACCAAGTAAGTCCTTTTGTGCTAGCGATGGCCCAGCGTGCTGGGCACTGGCTAAGCCTGGGGCTTGGTGATGTTGGGTGAGAGACCCTGGGATCTCAGACCTCCCGAACTCCCCACCTCACCCCTGGCTGAGGATGGTCTCCCTAGAAGCGGGGCCAGGAAGGGGTTGGTCCCAGCAGCTCATTGCTGGGGTTGGACCTGGGGTGGATAAAGGTTTTGGGGGCCACATTGTTTGGGGGACGGCAGCTGATGGCAGCAGCCCACTGATCTGTTTTCTCATGGGCCTGTATCCTAGCTTTCATCCAGCAGGAAGGTCCTCTTGTTCTTTCTCTTTATTCCCTTTATCACCCTCAGTGTGATGAAGGGTGGCCCCCCCAAGGCATCCATGCTTGGGGACATCACCTGGGCTGTACTGGTTCATCGGAGCCTCTGCTCTCCAGCTGCAGTGTCCATTTGCAGCTCCGTAGTGGTCTTTCTAGTTGAGGGCAGTCAGGGAATGGAGTCACAGCCTGGGTGGGTCAGGTGGCCTCTCTGGGTGCAGACCTGCGTGACAGGTCCATGTCCTCGATGTCCCCCCCCCCCCCCCGTCTTGTGTGGAATGCACACCCCACCCCACCCCCACCCCACCAAAGCCCAGGATCTGGTTTCCACATTCCAGCCCATGTGGAATAATAGAGATGCCACACCCAGCCCCTCTGAGGGCAGAGCAAGCAGGATGTGGCCAATTAGAAGGGCTGGCAGGGAGGGAGCAGCCAGGGGCCTTCCTTCTCCTGCCGGGTACTTGTGTGGCTGCTGCAGCCACCAGACGGAAGAAGCTGCCCAGCTGCTGAGGGCCAGGACGCCTCAAGCACAGTCCTTGCTCACAGACAGGATGGCCTCTCCTCACCCCTGCTGACTGCCCCAGGAGGCCGCCAGCTGTGTCCACAAAGCAAAATGTGACCTGTGTAGTCCAGGCTGAGGCGGGACAGCTAGCATCCTTTGCTTCACTCTCTTGAGCCCCTCCCCCACCCAGGGCATTGCTGTCCTGAGAGTGAGCAGAGGGGAAGGCTAAGAGGCTGTGCACAGGGTAGGTGTCCAGTGGTCTCTGAGGACACAGTACCTGTGTCCCCCACTGCCCAGTGAAAGGGAGTGGGGGGAGGGGAAAGGGAGGTTTTCTGGAGAAAGCAACCTTGCCTGCCTGTGACCAGTGCTTGGCTTGGGGGAGCCTGGTGGGTGCTCTGTAGCTGTGTGCTGCCCCCCAGGACTTCCTGACAGGGTGGATGTCCCAGGTCTGCCTGTCCCACAAAGTAGTCACTCACCATGGATGGCTGTTCAGCATTAGAACTGAGTGTTCTGTTTAATGTTTGGCAGTTTACAACGTTTACTTTTTTTTGGTTTTTTTGGTACCGGGCATCAAACAGGGGACCTTGCTCTTTCCGAGGCAGGCAGCGGAACCACTGAGCTACATCCCCGGCCCTATTTGCCGGTTTAAACAGCCATGTGTAGCTAGTGATTAAGAAGTACTTTTGACACTTTATCCATCCCTAAGAACATCTGGCTCAGCTGGCTTTAGGTCATCTTTGCCAGAGAGGCCTTTGTCCCCAGGCTGAAAGCTGAGGCTCCTTGACCCACTGCCCTGACCCTTCCACTCTGCCCACAGCCAGAGCCCCACGCTGACCCTACAGTCCACCAATACGCACACGCAGAGCAGCAGCTCCAGCTCAGACGGGGGCCTCTTCCGCGCCCGGCCAGCCCACTCACTCCCACCAGGCGAGGATGGCCGCGTCGAGCCCTACGTCGACTTCGCAGAGTTCTACCGCCTCTGGAGCGTGGACCACGGCGAGCAGAGTGTGATGACAGCTCCGTAGCCTCGGGGAGGGAGTGCAGCCCGAGCAGGACCTTGTGCAGGGGCAGGCCCGGTGGCCAGGGCAGGATGGGCTCACTCCCCTGACCTCTGCTTGTGCTGTGGAGCTGGTGGGCCTGTTGTCCACAGTTGGCCACTGCACAGGAGGGAAGGCCATCCCTGATGGACTCAGGCAGGACCCTCATCATTCCTCAGATCAGGGCCCAGTCGTGGAAGCCGGGCTGGCCTGCCAGCCATGTGCAGCAGAGTGGAAGAGGCCAACCTGGGGACCCAAGTGTCACAAGCCCAATGGACACTGCTCTCTCAAGGCTGCCCCTGCCTGCTGTCATCTCCCCTGAAGTGGCCTGTAACGCCTCACCTCCGTCGGTGTAATGCCATCACCTCCAGCCTCTCTGTCCCACAATCCTGGCTTCACAGTGAACCCAGGTGGGGCCTGTACCTGTCCAGGAGGCCAGGGAGTGAGATGGCCCCTGGGATGGCCACAGATGAACAGATCAGGTGGAAAGGACAAGACAAAACTGGCCTGAGAAGCACTGGTCCTGGAACTGGTCTGAGAAGCTTGTGTGACCAACCTGCCATTGGGGCTGCTTCTGCTAGGCTCTGCTGGGAAATGGGAGGCCCAGGGCTGGTGAGCCAGCTCCTGTCTTGCTTCCCTGTTGGTGCTGGGCAGGCCACAGTGGGAGTGGCACAGTGCGAGGCCTTTGCACCGATGTGGCCCTAACCCGGCTCCGGGTGGCAGTCAGTGCTTGTCAGGTGGGTGCTCAACTGAAAGAGGGAAGAGGCTTCTGGAGCGAGGCTGCCCTTCAGGATATGCATCATGTTTACAAAGGCGAGGATTGGGCTGGCCAGGCCCTGAGTGGACATTTCACATGTCCTCTCCCCTCAGTGTGGAGGGGCCATCAGGGCCACTGACAGTTTTGCTGTTCCCATTTTCAGAGGAAGAAGACCCAGGAAACTTGCTCCTTGCTCAGGTCTTGCCATGTTGCCAAGATGCTCCAAACCCACGGCCTTTTGTCAGTACTGGTGGCTGCTGGGTTCTGCCACTCCCACCCCAGCCTCCCTGTCCTACTCTGTCTAGCTGAAGTGGGCCAGGCACCAGCCTCCATCAGGCCTCCCCTGTGCCGCCTCTCTGTGGGGTCAGAGGCCCCTGCTCACCCCGAGGTTTTGGAATCTACTTGCCCTGCCGCAGAGCCGGACCTAGTGTGGTTCCAGGGAGAGGCTGGGTTTCCTGACAAAGTCACAGCATGAGCAACGGGAAAGCAGATCCCGTACTGGGCCCCAGATGCCCTCCACTGTGAAGCCACCCTTGTCTTGCTGCCAAGGCTCAAGAACAGAGGGGATTCTCTCCCAGGAATGGCTCCAATGCTATTTGGTCTCTAAAATAGAATCATGTTTTTAATGCAGTAAAGTCATACGTGGTCGTGTTATGCCTTGTAACATTAATAGTGCTATGGCATCTGTCTCTGGTAACAAATGTGTCCTGGGAGGGGGCCACCTCTGCTCAGGAGGTTGAGGAACGATGTCACCAGGCTGGTAGGTGGCTTTTGGCAGGGTCCCTGCTGTCACCCTTACCTCCCAAGGGGCACCACAGGAACCCCGCACCCTCTGCATTCTGCTTGTGGCCCTCACGCTCACAGGGGGCAGGTCCTCTGTCTGTGGGTGGTGGCAGGACTGTCATGCTGCCCCCATGCTTCCTGAGCATGTGTGTGGTACCATGACCGCCTGGGGCTCAGGTCCCCTGGGCAGGGCCTTTGCCCTCACTGGCTGGTTTGCTTTATTTGGCTGGGTTGGAGTGAAGGATGTTCTATAAATACTAGTCCATGCCACTGCCCTTCCTGGGCTTACCCTGCTAAGATCATCACGTCAGACCAAAGCACTGCTCCTCAGGACTGGAGCCAGGCTCTGTCTGGTGTGGTCAGAGGGTCCCTGACGCCCCCTCCCTTAGGCTGGCTAGGGCTCTCAGTAGAGGGCTCCGCCTGCTACACTTCCTTTCAGGATCTGTTCCCTCTCCAGTTAACCCAGCCGTGCTCTCAAGTGTCTTGATAGCCACAACAGCCCCTAAACACTCCTGGAGCCATGATGTCACCCAGCCACCCCACAAGGGCACACACCGTTCTGTGATATGTCAGAGGCACAGACAGGTTCAGGCATGGTCCCGGTCTCAGATGGCCACCATCCAACCTCTAGGCCCTTGGCTTCTCCCAGTGTCTTGTGCCCTGGGTATTGGGGGCACCTGGCCTGTTGGCTTTGTGTCCCTTGTCCTTGGCCTTAGTATCACTTAGCTCTGTGTGAGCCTGTTCTGTGTGAGCCTCTGGGTTCCTCTTGGTGGAGGAGAGACAATCTTTGAAGACTTGAGGGGGCATGAGTCAAGACATGGACAGTGACCCAAGACATCCAGGCAGTCTGCCACGGCCAGGTCACTTCCCCCAAACCCCTGGTGCCTGACACACTGGGCAGATAGCTGACATTGGACATGTGTTCTCCCCAGCCTTTGCCCTCCACCTGGGTGTGAAAAGCGCTCGGTTCCATGGGGCTGGATCAGGCAACCAGAGAAGCCCACCCAGCCCCTGCCTTCTCGTCCCTTGAAGACATCCTGTCCCCTCTCAGAACCCAGTCACAGGCTTGACTGAGCCCCTGGCCCGGATCAGACCAGATGAGTCCAGGCCCTCAGAGCCTACGTGTGTGGTGGCGAGGCTGGTAGCAGCAAGGAGACTCCGCAGTGTCTTTGGGCTGTCACAGGCTTTACTAAGCCTCCAGGCCTGATCTGGGTTCTGACTCCTTCATGAGCCTGACCCTCACCAGGCTGTAGAGCAGGCGAGGCCCTCATTTGATGGGACACAGCCGGTCCCTGGTAGCAGTGGTGGGGGACCCTTCTGTAGGGCTCTGACCACCTGGTACTGAAGTACCAATTATGCTCTCTGAGTGCTGGTTTCTTGTCACTCAGGTCTTAGCACAGATGCCACCACCTGGGGGAGCCTGCTCATCTGTAAGGACTTATGTGCCCCTCACACCGCAGGGTCCAGCCCCAAGTGCTGGGCCTGCCGGGGTCCCTCGCAGGCATGGTAAGTGAATGAAAGGAGGAATTGGCATGTAACCTTGGGGAGTGTACTTGGGCTGAGCCTTGATTTTTTTCATCTACAAAATGAGGATATGACCCATTTAATAAAACTATGCTGAGGTCCTGGGCAGTCTTGTCATCAGAGGTGTGAGGTCAGACCTCCCCTTCCTGCTGAGGGAGCTTGGGGTGAGGACAGGTTACAGGAGTTAGGGTTGAGATCCACCACCACGCTCATGTCTGTGCACACACTCAAAAGTCGTCTGATGGAGGTGCAGCCCCAGCTCTGGCATGCAGCAGGTGCCAGGCCAGCGCCACCTTCGGCTTTATCTAGGAACCCAGTTGAGGCAGTGGGTGTGGTTCTCGCCTCTTCTGAGCCAAAGCCCAGATGGAGGCCTCTGGCCAGGCTCCCAACACTTCCTCAGTCGAGAGCATCTCTCATGACTTTTACTTCTGGGCCCCCTATTTTGAGACCAAGAACACAGATCACTGCTTATCCAGTGAGCTCAGCATGAGCATGCACTTTGCTCCCACACAAAGGTGACACCAGCTCAGAGCAGACGGGCACTTGACATTTCCACAAGCCTGGGAGGCCTGGTGGAGGTCAGACAGACTGGCAGCTAGCACTGAACCATATTGACACCGCTTCACGGGCTGCACCCCTGCCTGCAGAGACCCCCAGGGGGCTTGGAAGCCCCCCCTACTACAGGCCAGTTATCCACTCCAGCCCTCTCGAACCCTGTTCCCAGATAACAGCAGGCCCTCAGCACACACTATAAGGAAGCCTCTGGCTTGTCACTTTAGCAGCCATCCTGTGGTTCAGACAATGGCAAGCTGAGAGCCTTCTGTGCCTGCAGCTCCTCCCTCCTGGCTGTGAGCATTTGTCAGCTCTCTGCCCTGGGCTGTCACCACTCAACCCAACCCAACCGTAGTCCAGCACCAGCCCTAGGCAATGTTTAGGAAATGTCAGGTAAATGGCATGGACAAATGGAGGAATTATCCAGGACAGAAACTGGCCTGCCTCAGCCACCCAGCGTTGGTAAGAAATTAAATGCTTCATCATTTATTTAATGAAGATGATGATGATGATGATGATGATGATGATGATGATGATGATGATGATGATGTTTTGAGACAGGGTCTCATTATGTACTCTTGGCTGGCCTTGAACTCACTCTGTAGCTCAGGCTGGTCTCCAACTTGCATCAGTCCTCCTGCCTCAGCCTCTTAGAGTGCTGGGATTATAGATGTATGCCAACACACCCAGCCTTTCATGTATTTTAAATAGATTTTATAGTCAAATCCATATCCCAGTGTTTTCGTTTTCTGGTACTGGAGGTAAGCTCTATCCCCCAGACCTTTGTTTTGTTTTGTTTTGTGCCGGGGATCAAACTCAGGACCTTGTGCTTGTGAGGCAGGCCCTGGAACCACTGAGCTAAATCCCCGGCCCCCAGACCTTTTTAAATTTTTGTTTTGAGACAGAGTCTCACTAAGTTGCTCAGGCTGGCCTCCAACTTTGAATCCTGCCTCCTTCGCTCCACCATGTGACCTGTTCTGACTTAGTGCTAGCACGAGGTCTAACTCTGGGTGACCTTGGATGAGACTCATGAACTCCTCTGATCTCATTTCATCTCCAAAAGGAGATGTTAAGAACAAAAATAAATCTGCCTATAACCCCAGCATTTGGGAGCCTGAGGCAGGAGGACTGTCTTGAATTGGAGGCCAGGCTGGGCTACATAGTGAGAACCTGTTGCAAAAGAAGTTTCCTCCTGATTTTCCAGCCCCAAGAGGTAGACTTGATGTAATCCCTCAGTTGCCAGTTGAACCTGCTAAAGCATCCCTGCTCTCCCCAGTGTGAGGAGGAAGCTCTCATGCTGAGTCCCTCTTGATGGCTGAAGCTGTCCTAGGGTTTTGTCACCTCACTTGACTTGCCCACTGGGGCTGGGGGCCAGGAGGGCACCAAGCCCTTCCCTACACAGCAGGAACCAACATGGTCCTGTCCCAGAGGAGCTGCAGACTGGGGCGCCCTAGCCAAGATGGGAGAAGGGGCTCCCAGAAGATGTCTGGAGGAAAAGCAGGGATCAGCTGGGTAGAGGGGGGAGGTGACAAAGGCCCAGACCCAGGTGGGAGGTGGGACCCTGCCAGGTGACAGGCAGTGGGGCTGGGAGGCCCGGGGGAGCCAGGGCAAGCTTTTATCAGGGAGCAAGGGGCTGGGCAGGTCTGGCAGGTGGGAGAGGAGTCGGATATGCAGGGAGTGCTGTTGTCTCTGTCAAGAGGTCCTAAGCCCTTGGACTGAGCTCAGAAAGTGACATGCGTACAGCAGCTTCAAAGACTGGGGGAAGGTCTGTTGTCTACGGGTGCCGGGAAAGTGCATTTTCTGACCCTAGGTCCCTGCACCCCACTTGAGCCAGCCAGCACTACCCACCCTTGCGGACATGGGCTCGGGTAGGACCTTTTGTGCACCTGGGTCTTGGCAGATGTTTTCCTGGCTGAGACCTACCCACCCTGCAGGACCCAAGAGCGACCAGGAGCTCAAGAAGGTGGTTGGCCTTGACCTGGGACATGGTGCTCTGTGACTTCTGAGGGCCTTTCTTCCACCAAGAAATATTTAAGATTGTGCTTTCTGTGTTGATGTAAAGATTAATGTATTCATGTACTAAAACTCTTCTTTAAAAGTTCTTTTTTGATTTAAAAGAAAGTAAACATTTCTGTAGGCCCCTAAGTGTGATTCAACAACAAGTTAAGAGAAACCCAGAGGTGGAAGCAGAGGGACATCTCCTCACAATGGGCCACTTTTTATTTATTTCTGTTCACACGGCACTGGGGAGAGCCTTCACACTGAGCTACATCTACAGCCCTTATTTTTTTTTAATTTTGAAACAGTCTCACTATGCCCTCTGTTCCTCAGGCTGGACTTGAACTTATGATCCTCCTGTCTCAGCCACCCCGAGTGCTTGGGATTATAGGCTTGCACCACCAAGCCTTTTCCCAGGCTGAATCTTCTTTCCCAGTGTGCCCTTCTCTATCTAGCACAAAGCATGTTGGGTGCCGACTCTGCTGGCCAACCTTCCAGCAGCTATTGGAGGGTGCGAGCGGGGAAGTCAGAAATGACTCAGCTGAGCCCTGAGCAGAGGAGCCCAGTCTCCCACCAAGGCTTCCAGAGGCTCAGCCACTGATGGCCAAGGGACCAGACTGAGGGGAGACCCGACCAGGCTACCGGTCTGGGAAGCTTCCCAGAGCAGGTGGGCTCTGGACAGGCTGGGAGCATTTGTGAAGGACAGGGCCTTCCTGGGGCTGTCAGGCTGACCTCATCTGGACAGCTTTGCTATAAAGATGGCAGACTGCGCTTGTGCGTAGACTTTCTCTCTTTCCTAAAACCCTA